AACAGGTGTGACGACGCAGTGAGATGCCAGGAGCGTAGCCTACTGTTTCATTTGCCGTTTGTCGCTTATCTACTGCTCGCTGTTTGCAATTAATTTGATAAGAGAAGACAAAATACGTGTGAATACGCTTTAATTTCTCGAAGACCCTTCCGCGAAGCCCGAGAAGCAGAGCCGTGCATGTTCAAAGGTTCATTGTTTAAGAAGAAATTATAAAAATACGAAATTGCAAATGCGCCTCAATTGTTCATGGTAAAAATTAAACAAATGAATATAATTGTATAAATCACCATTTATGTAGTCTGTGATTGAATAGATATAATATTAACCTGCTACTGTGCCGTGTCTTTAAAAAGTCGTTGGAATTTCAATTGAACTCTACTGTCTATATTAGAAAAACGTAGGCAGTTTTATAATTATCATTCGTAAATATTATTAAAAAATGGTGGAAGTACAAATATTTATAATGCATTTCCAAATGCAGTCGGCTTTAATAATTTTCATGGAGACCGAAACTTGACCACGAAGAGCTTAATAAAACGAGCTATATCTCTCATCTGTCACACGCCGTCTGATTAGCTTCAATACTGGAGATTAGATCGTGGTTCGAGGAAACAATGATCCTGAAGTTTGAAAATGTCAGAACTTTCATTGCCAACTGCAAAATCTATAAGATATCGAACTCTCGAGCGTTTTCTCTAGGGGTGATAATTTTTTTATTCTTACTTATTTCTTTTACGGCTTCTTAAAAAGCTGTAAAATATACATCAGAGAGATAATTGAACTTATAAATAGTTAAGTGCTAACAAGGGGAAATTTTGAAATTTTGTTTCCAGATTGTACTTGAAAAGTATCCGATAAAGAGGTCGAAAGATCGAAACGTTGTGACTTAAATATGTATCACTTTTTTTGCCAGTTTGGTCGATTTTTAAATAATTTCCCCTTGTTTAAATAATCACTGGCGACAATAAGCCTCCCTCAATTCGGTTAAGAGCTTAACACTTCTGATGTAATTTTTTTCTAAAAGCAATATTATTTTTAGAGGAATATTAATTGCGTTATTTAATCTTATATAACATATAAGATGACACATTTTTGTGTCAAGAAAAACTGAACAGTGGCAAATAATACATAAGGATATGAATAGGAAAATATTTAGTAATTGTGCGTAATGAAATATTTAATTGGAATCCCTACTGGATCGGGCTTCAATTAAGTTGTAGAGCTTTATGGAAGAAAACCGGTTCTCTCCGAATCCGGAAGAAACATATGTTGAACAAATGTTCCCGGATAATTCACTGACGCTCCGCCGGTTCTCGTAAATATCGACGATCGCGGTTTCCGACACGAACCATTCTGCATCCGCATTTCTACATGACATATGCAGTTTATATTCGCGCAGAAATGCGCGAACTTATTTCGTTTATTACATCCTTCGCGAAATAAGATTGCCCGAAGCAAAGAAACGAAGCAAAATTGAAAAACGTTGTTATTTATTCACCCTTAAACTTATATAATATATAAGATGACAAATTTATGTGTTAATAAAAACTGAACAGTGGCAAAAAACAAATAAGGATAAGAATAGGAAAATATTTTAACAGATTAAGTCGAGACGTTACGTTTTCTCGATTTTTTTTCATTTGCGTCAACTCCAACTTCTGTTACTTTTTTATTTTCAATTTGAGTTTTACACACTTTCACACGCAAGGAAATTAAATTATAAATTTTCATTTCTTGATTAACAATTAATGTTATTTTGTTGTTGCGTACTCACGCGAAAATCACGATTTTTTCATGTTCATGAAGGCACACTGCATTAAAAGTGATGAGAAATGTAAGCAATTTTGTTTCTTATTAACATGCATATTCTATAGTTCATCTAACGCATTGACTACTGTCTCATTATGTACATTATAACCACATCGCGCTCTATCATTAATGTACCGAGAAAGGTCTCGTATGGATGGAATTTCTTACATAGAGAAGATTAACGCACACATGCTTTAAATGCGTAAATTATACTTAATTTGATTGAATTAATTTCGAAATAAAAATACGATCCTACTAGTTTTTAATTATCATGAAAAATAGAAAACGACAATTTCTTTAATTACGTCAATTCATTGGCATTTACCATAGTTTTAACATCGCCCATTTCATATATAAATATTATTTAACACACAAATTATCTGTTTAATAATATTAGCATGTTTATTATCAGTAAATAATTTAATATTCTCTAACTGGTCATTTCTGCTTAATATTCTATTCTATCCAAATGTTTCCTTTCCGAAACAATTAAGCAGCCATGCATTATCTTGCATCAAAATGTGCACAATAAAAATCTTGGCGGGGACGAGAATAGATCTGGCATATTACAATGAGCGAGATCGCCCAATCGTATCGAATGTAGGTTACACATTCGCTCACCTAACATCGCCACTTCCTTTAGAGGCTTTTCGTCTCGTGCGAAGTAAAAGTACTGGCGCGAGAGGCGTCGCGCGTGGCCGGCCGCTTTTGCACAACAGTCTCATTCAAATCACCCAGCCGATTTTGTATTCCCGAGAGCCATTACTTTATTATAATATTATCTCCCGAGGGGATCCTCCGATCAATCCGCCTACGCCTCCCGTGTAATCTTCACGAATCGTCTTTGCTTCCTGCAGTGATTATGCCGCGCTGTGTGACACAAATGAGGTGCGAAAATCGTCATTTTTTTTACACGTGGGAATAGATCTTCTGTATTTGTACATGGCGTGCGTTTTACATAATCCGATGCTTCGCACATCAAGACATATTTGCAAAGGTGCAAAGAATATCTTCGATGATCTCGCTCGATTCATCAATAATACAAAAGTCATGTTATCGATGTTAAACAAAAGAAATACTCGAAATTTAAATGCTTAATAAATTTCGATCTTTATCGTTCTATATAATTCTTTAATTCTTGTCATGTTGACGCCTCCATATCGGAGACGTGTATATTTTATATCTTCTTGCGTCATAATCTCGCTGACGCAATTTATGTCATTGTGAATCATGTCAGTATCTCATAAAGATAATCTATTACAGAGTACATTATAGTTATCGCATTACCGTAAACATACTTGACGAAAAGCAAAAGTTATCGCCTTGGAATATATTTGCAATACATTAATTAAATAATAACGAGAAAGACAAATCGCTAGCTTTTCGATCTGAAGTTGCATATTATACTTTGAGAAAAAGACACTAGGTACTATTTTACACAGGCTACTAAGCTCAATTTTAACGGTACAGTACATATATTCTTCATGTTATCCCGAGGGTAGATGCTATACCTTTAATTTACGCAGATAAACTGCAGAACGTTTATATTAGATAAGTAAAGTTACGACATGACGTAGAAGTTTATAACAAAAGTGTAACTTTTCAAATCTTTCTTTAATGTTCTGCATCGATGCCACGCTTTCTGACATGTAATTTATAGAGCATACATTGTCTACATGAAAAAATTTCTAAAAACTTATAAAAACACGTGGACAATACGTAAAGAATTCATGTAGACGTAATTTTTAAGTGCCGCAAACCAACACGCTGCGAAAGCAACACGCCGCGAAAGCAAGAGAGAGAATTCTTGATCCATAGAAAACGCTTTGTAATTGAGCTTTATTTCCTCACTGCTAGGATGCAAAAATCATTTTGGGTGATGGTGTCAATCTATTAATAATGATAATATATGTGTAGTCTATTAGTCAAGTTATTTTATATCATATTACATGTATATTTATGCAATATTTTTTGTAATCAGGTTACTGGCACGGCTGAAGATGTCATGAAATATCAAACGTTGCTTAGTTTACAGCAAAATTTAAATACATTTTTGCCTGACACGCAATAACTTTTGACGTTACACCTTTGGATATATATTATTGTGTCAAATTAAAAGAAGAAGCCCTGAAAACTGGACTAAGGCAGCTACAAGAATTAACTTCGCATTTCTGTGCACTAGCTGCTCATATATAGTTGTGTATTGTGTAATTTATATCTTTAGTGTATATTAGAGGACATATATAAATATTAACAAAAATGAATATACATTTAGTTTATTTAATATATTAACAAAATATTACAAAAATAATCTTAATATTATTATAAATTAAAAGGAACCGATATCAATAGTATCAATGATGTCAATGAAAATTACTGTGACGTGATTTATGGGTAAAAGTATTTTGGAATTATTTTTCGCTGATTATATTGCGCACGCGAGAAGTATGTCGTTTGAGATAAAAAAATTGTGTGTGTCAAATTCATTGCATACGGAAGAGAATCGATGACCAAATATGTATTTTTATATCAATTATGTAGGTAATAACTTTATTGATACATTCAATGATGAATGTAAGTCCCTTGGAAGTCCTCTCACTTCTCTATTAGCGTCAATTAGCGTTTTCAACTGACTGGAACTGACATGGGTTTTAGCGCTCTCGGCTATTAACCCTGGTCCAGTCGAAAACGCTATATGTGGCGATCGAACGAAAAACCAACAATGTTTTGTTTGGTTTTGAACCCAGGTCTTTGGATTACCAGACCAGCGCACAATCCTCTGCTCCACGATCGCCACAAGAGCTATGACATATAAATATTAAAACAAAAATGAATATACATTTATAAATAAGTAGAACAATTTTTCCGACAGCTGCCCTCTTGTGCCGTTCGGTGAACTAAAATTGCAGTCGGTAATCCATTTCTCATGGTAAAAGGCTGGGGCAGGCATTTTCAGTGGTCGAAGCTCCAGCATCGTGGACACAGGCCCTAACCTGCGTCGAATATCAATGGCGGCCGATACTCAAATGAGATAATGTGATTGGTCGACGCGAGTTACGCTTTACGCAGGTTTCGCTGCATGTGAAAGCGCCTTGAGATTCGCATTGCAGACCCCCCACGGCCCGCATTATCAGTTTATCCCCGGGCTGTGGCCACGTCCCGACGTCCGGGATTCGATCAGCCGCTTCCGGGCTGGGACGCGCGCACGTTTTCGAAGATCGTGTGTCGCGCGCTTCACGAACTTTGACGTTTACGGCGCCGAGCATCGATTCTCCGCGACAAGCCGCCGTAAATTATTGAGGGCGGTCTCTACAGCGTGTCGATATCCCGCTGACGTTCGAGGCGGCAGTCCCGGGAGATCCACCGATTCAATTTTCTCCGCGAAACCTCGGACCGCGGACCGCACCGCCCGTCCGTTGTCGGCGGCGCTATTCGCATCCGTCTTGCCCGTGAGAGAGTAGAGGGTACCGTTGCGCGTACGTGTGTGTGTGTGTGATCGGTTGGCGATCAGTGGTGATCGCGCGCCTCGCGACAGCTCGGCTGTATCGCGCGAATGCGTCTCCGCCGTCGATGACGATTACGACGACGACTACGACGACGACGACGCTGACGCCGCGGCAGCTCTAGCGCGGAGCGCCGCCGTCAACCGTCCGTTTCCCCAGCAGCTTGTCACCCGTCCGCCGCGAGAAGAATGCGAGAGAGTCACGGGCGAACGTGAGACACGCAGTACACACCGCTTCTCCGCGCGCGAGGGAAACGCCGAGCGGCCGGGGAGGACGAGCGCCAACAGGCCGCGGTTATGTTTCTCGATGGAGAGCCCCTTGACGACAATGGCAGCAACGTCCCCGTCGAAGGTACGTGTCTCGCGGGGCTTTCCATTCTTTGTTTTTTTTTCCCCTCTGTTCTTTTGTCTCTCCGCGCGACCTCGCAGGAAATCGGACAGGGAAACAAAGAGCGTCTTCTCGAGTCCCGACCGGACGTGAAGAGTGCGTGTGTCTGACGGACGTCGCGTCACGGGAGACGCACGAGCTCCGCCAGCGACCTGTTCGTCGGCGACGAACGATACGAGCCGTCGATCCGCGGATGCTCGATCAGGGGCGACCGTAATGTTCGATGAAGAGTTTTGCGTCGCCGGAACGCGCTTGCCTTTAAACGCAACGCGTGTTAACTGTTGGACAAGTTTCGTCATCTATCCACGTCTCGGGATTCAAATGGTGTGATGTTTTTTTTTTTACAACAGCCCTTGGGTGACTCATTATTTGGCATATGCTACAATAGACTGTTAGGAACTCCTGAAGCGAGAGAAATGATGGTTAAATGCATTGATACATGTTTCCAAAGATAAGGAAACTGATATCACGTTCATCTCTTTGAGCAAGATAGTTTTCTTCCCCGCGAGATTATTTGATAATGATAAGAGGACGTTACGTTAAAGGATTTCTTTTGTTCTCCCAGAGGAGACTGCAGAAGGAGCTGATGTCCTTGATACGCGAGCCGCCGCCAGGTGTACAAGTAGACGCAGAATCGGCTGGGCAAAACCTGACACAGTGGATCGTGCACATGGAAGGCGCTAAGGGCACGCTGTACGAGGGGGAGCAGTTCCAGCTGCAATTCAAGTTCAGTACCAAATACCCATTCGACTCACCCGAGGTGACTTTCATCGGTGGAAATATTCCCGTACACCCGCACGTCTACAGCAACGGTCACATTTGCCTGTCCATATTAACGGAGGACTGGTCTCCCGCTCTGAGCGTGCAAAGCATCTGCCTGAGTATCATTTCCATGCTGAGCAGCTGTAAAGAGAAGGTGCGAGATAAGGCCGCTAGATATTATATGGTACATAGCGCGTGTACAATGTCGTCTGTAAATAACCCAAGTACTTTTCATGTAGAAGAGACCGCCTGACAATTCGTTTTATGTGAGAACCTGCAACAAGAATCCAAAAAAGACTAAGTGGTGGTATCATGGTGAGAAGATTAGTTTTATATATTATGACATACAACTTTTTGAATCCATCTCGTGCGTTTTTATCGTATCATCTGTGTCTCAGCTGATTTACAATTTTACGTATACAAGTACAGATTTTTGTGAGTTTATAAGTAGAATTATTGTTTTGAAATATAAATAAGTTTTTTTTGTTTTAGATGATAGTGTCTAACATTGAAGATCGTGGGAAGATTTCAACTTGGCAACATTCAGTTGTTGGACCAAGTGGGATAACATCCAAATGGAACCTGATGCATTAAATCAATAGAATTTTGCATACAATATTATATAGTAAAGTCAATATAACAAGAAATTAGATACGTACTTTAAAAAAAAAAGACAAGGCTACAACTTACTTATTACAATTATAGAGTGCAAACTGCGTGAGTTGTTTAATCGTAAATTATTGCAGCGTTGCTGATAGTGAAGCGTATTTTAATTATATAGAATTGTCAGTAAAAAAAGTAAATTAAAAAAGAGGTAAATAAGAAGGTATTATTTATTATTAAGATATGAATATGAAATTTTCTCTCTTGTTACTCCGAATTTAAGGAGATTGCTGAGATGTACGTTAACAAGAACATTGAATAAATTTAGAAACAATGGTAAAAATCTGGTAGATATATGTATACTATTAATATTGCAATAGCAATACATTATAGATACTTATTTTCTAATAGAACTCCAAAATTATATTGACTTAATCCATATCGATTACGTGTAAAGTACACATTATTTGAAATTCAATGGATTATTGTTTTTCCATAATATAATATATCTCTGTTGCATTTATTTGTCTCTTTTATAAACTTTGGGAGGCTATCACTTATATTATTACTATGTATTTAATACGGAACATATTATATTTAAAGAAATGTAGTGAAAATTAATACACAAAAATTCATATTCATTAAATTTTTCAATATTAGCGCTTATACACAACGCAGTTATGAGTTTTATTTAAATATGCACATGTGAAATAATGTCGTATCAGACTACAGTTTTTTTTATAAAATTCGAAAGCTAAAAAGTATATATATATATATATATACAACTACCTTGTATATTACCTTGAATATGCCATTCTATTATATAAAATAACACCTAACAAATATATATGTATAACTGGTAGAAATATATATAATTTTGTTAGATGTTATTTTAAATAGGGTGGCATATTCAGGATAATACAATGCGAAATTAATTAATGGCACTGTTATATCAATAATTGGCACACGCTCCAATAATATTCTTAAATTTTCGTGTCAGGTAATCTCCTAATTGCATGTATTAGTTAATAAAACTTTTTGTACATTTACTAAAAGTGTAAGTGACAGTGATATTAAATTTCCCGACAACATTTAGCGAAATTTCTTTCTCTAGTCATTAATTCATCGCACCTTATACATTAATAATTTATGTACGCTAATGTATGCTGACTACGTCATGTGCAAAGCATACGAGAAGATAACAAAAGTTTTGAGAAAGATAACTCGTATCAAATTGGAACATACATAACGTGACTGCAATAAAATAATTTATTAAAATCAGACTTGTCGCAATTATTGCTTTATTATTAGATACAGCATTTTGTAGTAGTAGCATTCTATATTTAATACGTGATAAATTGTTTTTATCTTCAATTATAAATATAAATCTTTAATAAGCGAATAATAAAAACAGTATAACTAACAATAAGAGATAATGAAGATAAAATTTTGTTTTGCACTTGATTTAAAAGAAGAACGCACAATTCTTATCTTAATCGTAGGCATAAAATACTCTTAATTATATAATTACTAATCGATATCGATTTATCATTTGACGAAACAATCTAATATGATATCAAAGGAAAGGCTGACGTTAAGACTTTAATTAGTTGGCGATTTATATATTGTTTCGTGGATTAATATGTTGTTTTCAATCTACCCATAATTATTAAGTAACTGCTGTTAATTTATTTTTAGTTTCATCTTTATCAAGTCTTCGGCAAATGCTAAGATCAATATAACTACTTTCGAGATCTACGTTCCGAGAAGCAACCTGCGAAGCTGTGCTCCAATTACTTTCACGACTAAGTATTCTCAGAAACGTCCGCGGGAGATGAATCTCATCGTCATCAATTACATCGGTACACCTAAGTACAATAATCTTTAACAAAGTATATCAGTAAGCATGCATAAATATGTCTTTAGCCATAGATATATGTTACAGATATGTGTACAATTACGATATCAAATTGCAAATAAGTTTGAATCGCGACTTGACAACTTTCAAACCCTAAATCACCACAGGTCTTATTTTTCGTGTATAAATAACTGTTATAAAGAGAACAAACATATTATTTATATATATTTATATCTTAAAAATTTGTTTCCATTTTCTAAAATCAATTTTCCCGAGAAACATTTAATCTACACTTTCGATTTATTTGTCGATTACATTTTTCGTCATATCTTTATAACATGTGTGCATTTCATGTAATGAAATTGATATAGCAACGTATATTTGAACTCTACGCTAATATCACTGGCTAGAACAAGTGCACGAAGACATTCTGATTGAGAAATTATCATTTTATTCGCGTAATCGCACATTTATCATATACGCATATATTATTATTATTAGTGTTGCGAAACCACTGTCAGCACTAGTTTTTAGTCATGTGCTTTCATTTATTATCGCGCTACAGTTATCTCCAATATTCATATAGGATCAATAATGTTATTGATTGAATTACATTATTGAGTACAATAGTTTTAGCAAATATATGTGACACATAATATTAACATCTTGGCATGCTAAATAAATTTAATTTACAATCTCATTGCATCCAGAAGAATCTGGTATATTATCTGTTTCAGTATTATCCGTACCAGATTTTTTTTTCAAAGAAAGATTGTTCTTTAAGACGTTGTCTTTCTAAATTCGGTTTCAATTTTGTTTGTTTCTTTACAGAAAAGCCTTCTCTGCAAGACTGTCTGAGCTGCAAATTAAAAAAAAATACACCGCCTCTTAATTCGAGGCAAACAAATTGCGATATAATTAGCGGGAAACACTAATCTTTCATCTTTAATTGCAAACAATTGTATAATAGACCGATATATATATACAGGGTGGGCCATTTTAATTTATACAGTCGATTTTTTAAAAAACTAAAAGAGATATGAAAAAATGTTTCAGACAAAAGTTGTATGGTTTCGAGGGGGACATAAGATGGTACCATAGGTTTGACCTTGAAG